AGAAAATTAAAAAAAAATACTCCCTAGATCATTCTCTGAGTGATAATCAAATAGTATAGAGATAGAATCAGCTTGTATACTTGTGCCCAAACAATTTATATATAGATAGATAGATAAAACCAAAATCTATATAGATCTCTAGATATAAACTGCATACTTCTATAGTTTAATTGTATGTATTATTTTTTTACCAATAAACTAGGCACAGTTTCCCCTGATCTCAAAATTCACAGGTTAAAGGGCCCCACAGGACCTAGAATTTTGGCATAATATTTTTAATGATAGGAAAAATGAACACTCCATTCTTTTTTATTTTTTGGTAAATAGTACTGTATTTTTTTCCAATTACATTTAAAGACAGTTTTCAACATTCATTTTTAATAAGATTTTGAGTTTCAAATTTTTTCTCTCTCCCTCCCAAACGCTCACCCCAATATGGCAAGCAATCTGATATAGGTTATACATGTGCAATCATGTAAACATACTTCCACATTAGCTATGTTGTGAAAGAAGAAGCAGAACAAAAAGGAAAATTTCCCCCCCACACAAACACACAGTGAAAATACTATGTTTTGATCTACGTTCAGACTCCATAGTTCTTTCTCTGGATGTGTATAGCATTTTCCATCATGACTCTTTTGGAATTGCCTTGGATAATTGTACTGCTGAAAAGAGCTAATCTTCCAATTGTGTGTGTGTGTGTGTGTGTGTGTGTGTGTGTGTGTGTGTGTGTGTGTGTGTGTTAGATATAATCTACATAACCTAGGAGGATAACTGAACAGAGGTGGGTCCTTTACTGCACAAAATAAGGAAGCTGGGAAGCCATCTTTTGGAGCTGCAATGACCTTGTTCCCTCAAGAAATCTATTCATGAATTATGCCCAATATATATTGGATGATTTGTGACTCCAGCTACATTATTCCTGAAACCAAAGTCAATTATAAAGAATAGCCTCTAATGAATCATGTTTGGATACAAAATTTTGTGTTGGTCTTTTCACTCATTTCCTTCCCTGATATAAATTCTGATTGGCCACAGAATCACTCATTTGGAAAACTATTTTATGCCAAACATAAGAACTGAAATAGATGGGAGAAACTACTCCTTTTTTCTGTTCATATTGAGGAAAAATCCTATGAATCTAGAAACACAATATCAATGCTTAAAAATTCCAGAGGGTTAGGAGTGATTTTGTAGTATCTCAACAACTAGGACTGAAAAGAACAAGCCCAGATTCTACAGAAATAAATCTCCCCTTTACCTTTTGATGACATTTTTATTTGCATGGCTATAATCCAAGTTTCTTATGTATTGTTGTATGGCGTATGAGCAGGAATAGATTTTTTGGAAGTGACTCTCAGTGGCTGCTAAAAATCAAAGGGAAAAATCTAATTGGGACTCTGGTAGTACAACTAGAATTCAACACAAGGATTCACGTCCCATTGATGGGTTTTCTGAGGAGCTTTAATTTAGGAATAATTTCTACTCAGTTCACAAACACTTATTAATGACCTTCTTTGTACAAAACCCTGGGCTAAGTAGTAATAATAGCTAATTTTTATATAGCAATTTCCATACTAGGCACTGCGCTAAGCACTTTATAATTATTATATCATTTGATCTTCAATCACTAGTGGGAGGTAGGTGCTATTATCATTCTCATTTTAGAGCAGGGGATACTAAGACAGACATTTATTAATTGGCTTGCCCAGGGTCACACAACTAGTATATTAACTGGGTTTGAACTCAGGTCTTTCTGATTCTAGGCCCTGCAAACTATCCACTACACCAGTTAGCTGCCCAAGTGTTTGGGTATTAAAGAAAGGCAGAAAAAAATCTCTGATCTCAAGGGGTTCAGAGTACAATGAGGAAGACAACTTTCCAAAAATTATATACTAATAAAACCAGTATGAGATTATTTGGAGACAATAAAGAAAAGTATGCACTAGCATTAAAGGAGACCAAGAAAGTTTCTTATAGAAAGGAGAATTTAGCAGGGGTTTAAAGGAATTCAGGGAATGCAGGAGGCAGATATGAGTAAGAAGAACATTTACAGGAATGAGGGGTAGCTAGTAAAAAAAAATCACAGAGGAGACATAGAGAGTTGTTTTTTTAAGGAACAACAAGAAGATCGGTGTCACTGGACAGCACAGTGTATTAGGCAGAGGTAAGAGGGAGAGATTTTCCCGAAGACTGGAAAGGTAGGAGGGGGCCAGATTATGGAGGCTTTGAATGACAAATTCTCCTTTTCTTCATGGAAGGGATTGCTACCATGGAATTTATTGGATACAGGAGTGATATTGTCAGAACTTTGCTTTAAGAAGATAAATTTGACAGTGGAGTGGAGGATGGACTGAAGTGGGAAGATTCTTGAGGCAGAGTCCAACCAGAAAGGCTATTAGATTTGCTCAGGAGTAAGTTGATGAAGGCCCTCACCATAGTGATGTCAGTTTTTGTTGTTGTTCATCCTTCATTTTTGAAGAGAACGTATGTTGTTGTCATGGGACAGTGTGTTTGACTGTGGCTGATCAGTTCAATAAGAGCGCAGAAGGCTCTACCACAGGTTGGGCATGGGTAGTCCAGTAGAACATTTTTGATGGAGATAGTTCTGAATCTGTGCAACTCATTTTGTGTGTGTGTGTGTGTGTGTGTGTGTGTGTGTGTGTGTGTGTGTGTTACAGAGTATGGCTTATTCTTGGATGCAATCACACCATGCTCAGCAGTCTTGTGCTAGCATATCCCATGTCTCACAATTGATACCAAAGTTCTTCACAAAGATCTTGAGGGTATCCTTGTACCACTTCTTCTGACCACCATATTGGTGCTTGCCTTCTACTAGTTCTCCTTAAAATAGTCTTTTAAGTAAGAGTACATTTGGCATTTATGCTATGTGGCCAGCACATTGGAGTTATGCTTTCTTCAGTAGAGTTTGAGTACTTGGCAGTTCAGCTCCAGAGAGGACCTCAGTGTCCAGTACCTCATCTTGCCAACTAATCTCCAGAATCTTCCTCAATTCAAGCAATTCAGTTTCCTGGCATAGTGCTACTCAACTGTCCTGGTTTCACAGGCATACAACAGCAAAGTTAGCACAGTGTCTCTGTAGGTCTTCAGTTTAGTAGGCAGTCTAATACCTCTTCTCTCCCACACTTTCCTTCAGAACCTCCCAAACACTGAGCTAGTTCTGGCAATGTGTGCATCAACCAACTAATCTATGAGGACATCCTTGAAAAGTATACTGACAAGGCAAGTGAACTTTATCCTCAGCATTCAAAATTTCTCCATTTACCATGACCAGTGATTTCACACATAGATGTTGAAGTGCTAGCTGGTGGAGGACTTCTGTTTTCTTGGTATTGATTTTCAGGCCAAAATTAGCAAAAGCATCAAGGAATCACTCTACATTCTGTTGCATCTCAGTCTCAGAGATTGCATTGAGTGCACAGTCATGTGAACAAAATATTGTGCATCAACTCTCCCTGCACTTTGGGCTTAGCTTATAACCTTTTCAAGTCAAATAGTTTACCACAAGACCCATAGTTGACTTTGATACCATTTTCATCTGTGTTGAAGGCATCTGAAAACATCATGCTAAAAAGCATAGGAGCAATCACACAGTCCTGCTTTACCCCATTGGTGACTGGGAAAATTTGAGAGCATCCTTCTTCATCTAGAACGTTTGCAAACATGGCATCATGAAATTGGCATACAATACCTATGAACTTCTCCAAACAATCAAATTTCACCATGACATTCTACAAGCCCTTGTGATGGATGATATCAAAGGCCTTGATCAGTTCAATGAATGTTGTGTAGAAACCTCTCTTCTACTCCTGGCATTTTTTGTGGTGTTGCTGAGTAGTAAATACCATATTAAATATTCCTCAATCCTTTCTGAAGCCACAATGGCTCTTAAGCAGATGACCATCTGCCAGTGAAAGATCAGCCTATTAAGAAGAATTCTGATAAGAATTTTGCTGGCTATGACTAATAGAGAGACCACACTGTGATTGTGACAGGACAATCTATTTTCCTTTCTTTTATAGAGATGGATAGTGGAGGTGTCCTTGAACTCCTTGGGAATAACCTCCTTTTGCCATATAACCCAGATGATTTCAGTCAGCTTTTATATAACCAATGGACCTCCCCAACTTGTAGATCTCTACTGAGATGGAATCAATGCCAGGTTCTTTGAGACTAGAGAAGAGTCTGATTACATTCGATACCTCCTCTTCAGCTCAAAGGTCAACTAGAGAGGGATTGAAGACAACCTGAGGCATACAGTCAATAGCTTCAGCATTCATTTAAGATAGTCTGTTGAGAACACTACAGCAGTTTTCAGTCCATCTCTCCAGGATCATGTCCTTATCTCTGATCAGTGCAGTGTGGTTCAATCAGTGCGGTGTTGTTGAGATGCACCAGAGGTCTTTGTCCCATAAATAGTCTTCAGGGAATCAGAAGCACTTTGGATTGTTTCTGTCAGTGTAAAATTGAATATCAGCAGCTTCCTTACTGAGCCAAGGTTCCTGCATCCTTCTAAACTTTATTTGTACTTTACTTTTGATAGAACTTAACACTTTTCTTGGAGACAAATGAGCTGGCCTGCTGGTAAACTCCGTGGCAGTCTTGTTCTCATTTAGCACCTTCTGAATTTCCCCATCCTTTTAGTCAAACCAGTCCTTATGTGTATGATTATTCTTGCCCAGATAAGCAAATGTGCTGTACAAAAAGTTTCTGAGTTTCTCACTCCCTTTCTGCTCCACTGTTGCACACTGTGTACTAACTAAACTTTCCCTCCAGATCAGCAATGAACTGTCTACACATAGAGAAGTATTCTAAACTATTGAAACTGAGTCTCCTGACTGTTGTCTTGCCTTGTGGCCATTGCTTTTATTGAATGCAAATGTTTAGCTTGGAAATGATGAGTCTATGATTGGTTCAGCTATATCCATTACACATCACTTTCACCACTCTTACATACTACCTCTCTCTTCTTCTTCCAGTGACTTAGTCTATTAAATGTCAGTGCTTGCTGTGAGAGTGCATACATGACCTTTTGTTGCAGGTAGATAAGCAGAAGACAGTGTTGGTGATAAGAAGGTCAAGAGATGTGCAAGTCTTTAGTAGTAAGTGACCATTTCTGTTGCTGTTTCCAACACCATTCCTCTAAATGACTGCCTGCAATATCTAGTACTCTGTGTCTACTATGTCATTAAAGTCACCCAGAAATATAAGCTTGTCCTCTTTGGGCACATTAATGATGAGGGTCTCCAGGTCTTCATAACATTTTTATTTGCGCTTATCAAGGTTCATCATGTTGGAAGCATATTTGCTTATGATGATGGTATAACCCTTTCCTGCAAGTGGCATTGTCTAGACTCTGTCATTCACTCTTTTTGGGAGGCAGACAATTTTGCTGGCTAGATTAGATCTGATTGCTTCACTAGTGCTCCTCATCATAGTAACCACTCCAGAAAACAAAAAAACAAAAAGCAAAACCCAGAAACATACAGCTAGCTCTGACTTTGGCAATCTGTCCTTCATTTGCCAGCCTTGTTTCACTCAGGGCTACTATTTGGATGTAGTACTTTCGAGGTTTTCCCCAAACAACAGCTATTAATTTTTCAGCTCTACTGGATTTCATGTTATGCATAACTGTGTGCACACTATGTGTACTGATGGTGAATGTTATCATCTTTGAAAAAAATGTTCTTTCTCTGTACTTTTACCATAGGGTGGGATCCCTATCTGTTGTGGAAAGCCGACCAGTGTTGCTGGTTAAACAGACAATTTTTTAACGTACTTTTTCTAGTCCCTTCCTCACACCAGAAGGCAAGCAGTGCAGTCCTTTTTAAAAGCTGCTCAGATGTCCATGGGGCTTCCAAATCCCACTGCTGCTTCATCCTAGTGAGAAGATGACCCAATACCCTGGGCTGCCTGTGTGCAGGGTTGTAGCTACAGGCCACAGTGGATCTACATTAGCTGCTTATTCATTTGCTCATCCTCACAGGACTTCAAGGTAAGTAAAATGGTAATACAGTAAAATAATAAAATAGTAAAAATAATAAAATAGTACATGATGCATGATGCTCTGATTTGCACATGAATTAGACTTAAATGAGGCAGAGTTAGTCAGAGTTAATAGCTTCACTTTCTCTTCCAGAGTCATTGAAGTCCAGTGCCAAGACAAAAGTCAAGATAACTGGCAGTGCCTGGGATGCAGTCAAAGACCTTGGAATCTTTGATGTCTGACCAAGCTCTATGTGCTACACAGTAGCTGCTTCAGCTGTCTTCATGACTGTTGGAAAAGATTATTTTCGTCTTCCAATTACACCAGAGGAATGCTTGGGGAAGACATTCCTTTATCTCACTGACAAGTTTGAGGTTCATCAGTTACTTCCAACCTAGTTAGACTGTCTGCAGAGATGGATTTATCTCGGTGTGGCCACTGAACATACTATAGCTTCTTGGAGCCACAGGAGAGAGTTAAGTGACAGGTGGATGCCAAAATTGGAAGATATTCCTGAAAAGGGCTCAACAAGCCCTCATACCAAAGATGCTTGTCTTCTCCAAACACCCTTGTACATACCAGTAACAAAGGAGAGGAGGTAGTTAGAATTAGAACTTGGACAAATTTAGTCAGTTAGCTAATAATAAGTTTCTGTGGGGGAAGAAAATCTCATTATTGCCCCTTACTTGAATGAGAATGTTTGGAATTGGCTATGTAAAAGGGTGATCTCTAACCAGTGAGAAGTGGAATAAAATTAATATTTGTAGACATTGAGAATGGCTAAGTAAAACACATTCCGGTTTCAGGATAGGGAACTCTAAATCCATTTCATCATCTTATCAGGTATGTCTCCATATTAAGTTAAGACCATTAACTAAGGGAAATTTTTCTTAATTATCATAAAGCAAAAACAATAAAAACATTAGCCTAATTTGACTTTGTGCTTTTTGTTTTATTTTCACAATGATGACTTCTGTTTCAAGGGAGCCAATAATTAAGGTTCCAGTTTTACAAGATAAAATGTATAATCTTAAATCATCTCTTACTTTAATTAACAGTCATTACATGATGCAACAAAAGAGCCAACTGTGCCTGTTGAAGCTTGATTGTGAGCGTTACTATCAAAGTCACTATCCAACCTCACCTACTTTATCAGCAACTCAAAACATGTTCAGAATATGGATTAGTGGTCTCTAAAATAGTGAGTTTGAGATCACTCTCCTCACTGGAATTTGCTAAATTTATAGAAAAGGAAATTACTGTAAGTGATTATGGGAATAAGACTACTCCTGAAATTACAGCTTTGGTTCATTTCTCAGGAGGACCAATGGTATCCATTCCCCAAATGGGTATTTTCATTGTTCTTGAATGTGCTACTGATACAGACAGTCTTAGTTCCTGGTCCCTTGACACAGCTGCCCCATTATCCCTAGTCAGGTAAAGTAGGAACATATGGGACCTCTTATCCCCTCTCAGACTTTTTGCCAGACACAATTCTGTATTCCAGAAGGCCACAAACTTTTTTTTCCCTGACAGTATTTTCTGTCATAATCAGCTATGGGTTTTGTACCTACCATCTGGGAGTTTAATGCTCCTTTATGGCCAGGCATGAAGAAGGATCAGTCCTAGAGAATGACCACTAATTAGAGGAAATGTAATTAGTTGGTCCATGTCAGTATGCTATTAATTCTTTATGTTATTTTACCAATTGAGCAAGTCAAATCAACACTGAACAGAAGTATAGAGTGTTAGACTCATGAAACAATTTATTTATTATGTCTACAATTAAAGAACACCATGCCAAGTTTTCTCTCACCTGTGATGGATGCAATGTACTCTACTATACTCCCACAGAGATGTTAGAAGGGTCTTTGACTGGGATACACTGATGTCTCCATTAACCATTGTACATATTGTATACATATTCTTTGGCGCTTGGGATATTACTCTTAATGAGCTCATTTGTCACATTGAATCAAGAAGGCAAGGTGGCAAATATGGATAAAGATGAGGGCCCTTCATGGCTAGTGTAAATCCTTGGCAGTTAGTGAAGGGGACTACTCCATCTCATCTCATTCTGCAGGCAATTAAGTACTTAAAAGTAGACAGGAATAAATGTTTAAATATCCCTGCTAAGTGCCAGGCACTATGCTAAACATTTTACAAACATTTTCTCATTTAATCCCCACAATGTTGTGAGGTAGATGCTATCATTATTGACATTTTAAAGTTGAGGAAACTTACCTTGTAGAAGGAACAGGCATAGAGCATTATAAAACTGGTTTCTAGTTGCAACGCTTCCCTTATCTAGGGATTCCATTCCATTTACCCATTCACCCAAAACCTGCTATCTTTTAGTGGAAGCATGAGCAAATTTAGCTTCACAGTCTATCCTTGCAACAATTAGCATCTCTTGAGGCTTTGGGCCTTATGACCTCAGGAGCATATAATCCTTAAAATATTTATCACTCCAGAACAGGATTGTGCAGCCTAGAATTACTGTTAGATCTCCTACTACAAAGGTTGGAAAAACGTTCCATTCCCTCTCTGGTTCCGGTTAATAGTTTTCAACCTAAGTGCTGCTAACTAGTGTTCGAGCATCAGTTTCTGCCTTGTTACTGGTTTCTGGTAGAGATGAAGATTTATCTAAGGATACATGTTTTCCAGCAGTTTCCTATAGGATTGACTGAGTCCAGCACCAACTAGGAGAAGTATGCGGGATAAATAATGTGTGTCTTCACATTCTAATTTGTGTTGTATCCTTATGATCCAGAGAAGCTATTCCAACTCTCTTCCCTTATGAGTTTAAATGTGTCACAAACAGAGTTCTCTATGTCACTCCTGGAACTTCCCTCAGCACCTAGGAACTTAGTGATAGCCCCAGGCTATTTATGCTTCATTCTTATTTTTATAAATTTGACTCAGTCCTCTATATATTTGAGAAATGAGGCCTTTATCAGAGAAACTTGTTTCAAATTTTTTTTTCACAATTATTCCTACCTGTATTTCCCTCCATTCTATCCCCCCACCATTTATTCTATTCTGTCTCTCCTTTTACCCTGTCCCTCCTAAAAATGTGCTTTACTTCTGACTACTCCCTCCCCCAATCTGCCCTCCCTTCTATCATTCCCTGCTTCTGTTATCCCCTTCTCCTCATACTTTCCTTTAGGTTAAGATAGATTTCTATACCCAATTGAGCATGTATGTTATTCCCTCTTTGAGCCAATTCTGATGAGAATTCCCCCTCAATTCCCCTCTCTTCCCCTCCACTGTAAAAGCTTTTTCTTGCTTCTTTTATATGAGATAATTTACTCTATTCTATCTTTCCCTTTACTCATCCCCCAGTACATTCATCTATCACTCCTTTATTTTATTTTTTTTAGATAATCATCCCTTCATATTCAACTGACACCTGTGCCCCATGTCTAAATATACTCTTTCTAACTCCCCTAATGAGAAAGTTCTTAAAAGTTACAAGTATCATCTTCCCATGTAGGAATGCAAACAGTTTAACCTTATTAAGTCTCTTATGATTTCCATTTCCTTTTTATGCTTCTCTTGAATTTTTGTATTTGAAAGTCAAAATTTCTATTCTGCTCTGCCTTTTTTTTTTCATCAAGAATGCTTGAAAGTCCTCTATATCATTTTTCCCCCCTGAAGGATTATACTTAGTTTTGCTCAGTAGGTGATTCCTAGCTCCTTTGCCCTCCTGAATATCATATTCCCAGGCCTCCAGTCATTTAACATAGAAGCTGCTAAATCATGTGTTACCCTAACTGTGATGCTATGCTACTTGAATTGTTACTTTCTGGCTGCTTGCAATATTTTCTCCTTGACCTGAGAACTCTGCAATTTGGCTATAATATTCCTGAGAGTTTTCATTTGGGGATCTCTTTCAGGAGAAAAAATAATTAAATGAAATATCTTTCAGGAGATGATAAGTGGATTCTTTCAATTTCTATTTTACCTTGTAGTAATATATGTATAAAAGGGAATGACTCTAAAATGACAACAAAGGTCTTTTGCAACACTTAAACTTATGATCATTATTACTAGAAAATATCAAAAATTCTCCTCCTCTGTGAAAATTTGCTAATAAATTTTTATGGATGCATTTTATGCATACAATGAAATTATCAAAATAATTATTCTTCAATTCCAGCATTATAGCTGATTGTGGAGAGTCAGTAAACATATCCAGCTTTGGGCTCTACACAATGGAATAATTAGGTACAAATGCTTCATCTGGGGATGAATGCAAAATGTAATGTAGCTAATGATTCCTCAGCATTGAATTCCTTGTTCTCTTTTTCTTAAAATTTTTTTTTATAAATTATTCTTAAAGAATTTATGAATATAGCTTAAATAATAACTTAGTGACAAATTCTCTAGGTTGCACCTTAACATTTTCCATCACCTTCTAATGCCTTTGAGTAGTTGCTTTTGGGAGATTTCAGCTTTCATTAGCACATCTGCTCGAGCACAGAGAGGAAAAAAATAAAAGATGAAATTTAAATCAACTACATACTTCCAATATGGAACCTCTATTAAAGTTAGTATGTGAAGAAATAAATTTGAGAATTTTTCTGAAAGACTTTGCTAAAATCTAGGTCCCATAAAGCAGTACCTCTTATTAATTTTCTTCATGTGACCAACATAGCTAAAGAGCCTTTGTATTGTTCTTAGCATCCATTCATTTCAATAGGTAAATAATTCTGGAATTCAAAGTACCTAACTACTATAAAGGGCCATATTCACCTTTATTAATCCCAGTTAGGCATTCTTGTTTCTATCTACTGAACATATTTTATCCTTAAAAATTTCCTTGGTAGGACTTCTGGGAGCCAAGATGTTGGAGTATTCAGTAAATCGCTACAAATTTTCCATACTTAACTCCAAACAACCATAAAATAGAACCCTTAAACAAATCCTGGAATAGCAAAACAAGCAAAAAGAAGGGGGAAAAACAGTTTCTTAGCCTGAGAAACTTGAAGGATCAACAAAAAAGGTCCATCTCATTCAGAAGAAAGGGGAGCACATTCTAGGACAGGAAGCATCCAACCAAGCTAGCAGCAAGCCCCACGTCAGCAAAACAGCTGGCGATCCTGAGTTCCAATGTGGCAGAGCAGGCAAACACCAACACCAAGACTATCCCTGTGCCTTAGCATAGGCAGGGAAATTGGCAGACTCCAGTTCCAAGAATCACTACTATAGAGTAGTCCAGGTAAACAGGCAGGCTCCAGTGGCCAGACTTCTATATACAGCAGCACAGCCCCAGGCAAACAGGTAGACACTGATTTTAAGGTGCCTACACAGGCCATCACATGCTTCAATACAGCCATGGGGAAATGTAGAAACACCCCACCAGGACTTGGCACATGCCAGATACCACCACTGGGACTTCAGCTCAGCACCAGGTAAGCTGCCAGATACCTATGGCCTCCAGAAGCATTAGGCACTCCCTCCCCACCCCAAGCCCTTAACCCATCACCAGACAGAGTGTCCCCCATGGGCCTTAGGGAAACATCAAAGCAGCACCCAGGACCTGCAGCCATTAGCACAAGAAGCCAGAGACAGAGCCTCTTCCATCTTGGGAGCAGAGAGCAAATTTAAAAGAAAAGGAAAAGGTATATAAAAAAGATAAGCAAAACAACAACAACAGCAATAACAAAAGAATCTGACCATAGAAAGTTATTATGGTGACAGAGAAGATCAAGACACAAACTCAGAAGAGGACAACAATGTCAAAAGAGCTATGAGTAAAACCACAAAAAAAAATGGGAAGTGGTCTCAAGGCAAGAAAGACCTCATAGAAGAGCTTAATGTGTCTATGCAAGAGAGATAGAAGAAAAAATGGGAAAAGAAATGAGAGTGATATAAGAGAATTATGAAAAAAAAAGCCTGGGAAATTGCTTAAATAGTAGAATTGGCCAAATGGAGAAGAAGATACAAAAATCTACTGAAGTAA